CCCCCCCGCCGCCCACACACACACTCATAGTGACATAGAACATTACAATAAAATTGAAGGGTGTGGCGTTAAAGGCAGGGACAAATATGAGGGGAAAAATATAATGTGTAAATTTTACTTAAAGACTGGGAAGGTCAGAGATGGAATCGGTCCTGGAGTGGCCAAATGCGATCAGTGAGGAAATTCTCAATGGGCCATTTGGGTTTATCGGTTGGTGTTGAAGTATATTTTATTAGAAAGATATATTAACTTACTGAAATGTGTGGATATACTGTGTGCATTTCTTAGTATGATACTGTATTAAAATATGATCTGATTTCAGTTTCCTGTAGGGAATGTGGCCTACAAAGCCCAACAGCCTTTTATTCACCAAAGGCCACCATTTTGGAACACAAGATGGTGAGTCTAAACAAGTTAAATCTGGTCCTCTGGAAATTCAAAAAAACAAAACAAAAAAATTGTAGAAACGTTTCGTCTTCCATCTGAAAGATTTCTTCAGTCTGAAGCGCTGTATTCAGCTCAGTCTCTTAAATAGCACCTTCTCAGAGTGGATCAACCAGTGTGCTGCTGACAACCAGAACCAGCTGCTCACATGGTCAGGAAGGACCATCAGCCTAACAATGGATCATTAGCACACTGATGGCTGTTTACTATTCACAGGAGGCTGAGTGATACTAGCAATAACACCATTGTAAGAGGGAGACAGTTGCCAGCTTAAGGGATGTGTACAGACGCCAGATATTTGGAAACATTGCAAGTGACAGAGTTAATCATGCAACAATAGGTCTTAAAGGTACACCATGTTTGTGAATTTTAGGTAAACCATACAGACTAGGTGTGGCCTACCCTGGGTACAGTCTGTGGTACAGATTACGGTCAAAAGCCTTGTCCTGCCCCAAAATTTTCAGGCAATCTATCAACTTCTTCTTGTTACCACTTCCTGGATCTCTTTTCAGAGGTTCATAAGTGGTTAAGTCACTAAGGAGTGTCATAACTTTCTCATGATAGTCTTTCTGGTTCAAAATCACTGTGCATCTTCCTTTGTCAACTCTTGAAACTGTGCCTGCAGTCAACCTACTTCACATATGGGGAGCAATATTATAGGCAGAAACATGGGTGTTCTATGGGGTCTCCAGTTTCTCCTATTGTTGCCAACCTGTACATGGAGGAGGTAGAAAAGAGAGCCTTGACGTCCTTTTCAGGGACACCACCAAGTCATTGGTTCAGGTATGTTGATGACACCTGGGTTAAAATTAAATCTCAGGAAGTCCAACATTTTACTGACCACATCAACTCTGTGGATAAGTACATCAAGTTCACACGAGAAGATGAAAAAAATGGCAAGTTGGCTTTCTTGGACTGTGAGGTCTCAGTCTCTGATAGAGGACATTTGCAAACTGAGGTGTACCGCAAACCCACCCACACAGACCAGTATTTGCAGTTTGACTCCCATCACCCTTTGGAGCACAAGTTAGGAGTCATCAGGACTCTGTACCACAGAGCAGACAGCATCCCCACTAGCTCAGGAGCCAGGCAGAAGGAGAAATCCCACCCAAGACAGGCTCTAGAGCAATGTGGATATCCTAACTGGGCCTTCCTGAAAGCAGAGAAGAAACCCAAACAGGACTCCAGTCAGCCATCGGGTGAAAAGGAGGAACCCAGACCAGTGGTCATTCTGTATCTTGCGGGAGTATCAGAGAAACTGAGACGTTTATTTTCTAAACACAACGTCCCAGTGGCTTTTAAACCCCAAAATACATTTCGGGAAAGACTGGTTCATCCCAAAGATCCAGTCCCCCGGCACAAAAAGAGTAATATTGTGTATGCTGTTCAGTGTCAGGAGGGCTGTGATCAGTCTTACATTGGGGAAACTAAACAGCCACTGGCCAAAAGGATGGACCAGCACAGAAGATCAACATCATCAGGCCAGGACTCTGCGGTCTACACTCATCTCCAGGCCAGCGGTCACTCTTTCAGGGATGAAGATGTTCACATCCTGGACAGAGAGGAACGATGGTTTGAGAGAGGAGTAAAGGAGGCCATCTTTGTGAAAAGAAACCGTCCATCATTAAACAGGGGTGGAGCCTCCGTGTTCAACTGTCCCCCTCTGACAATGCTGTTATTGCTAGTATCACTCAGCCTCCTGTGAATAGTAAACAGCCATCAGTGTGCTAATGATCCATTGTTAGGCTGATGGTCCTTCTTGACCATGTGAGCAGCTGGTTTTGGTTGTCAGCAGCAAACTGGTTGATCCACTCTGAGAAGGTGCTATTTATAAGACTGAGCTGAATACAGCACCTCAGACTGAAGAAATCTTTCGGATGGAAGACGAAGCGTTTCTACAATTATTTTTTTTTTTTGTTATTTTGAATGTCCAGAGGACCAGATTTAACTTGTTTAGATTTTTCTACCTGCAAATATTGAGCATGCATTAGGATACAAGATGGTGAAGTTTAATTAGCTGAGAGCTGGTCACATGAAGGGCTTACCATTCGTTGACGGTTGTAACTCCTCCTGGGAGATGTGGCCAAGCTCTGAAGAAAATGTGTTCGACTGATGCCCGGCGCCATTACTTGTTACCACGTGGTCCGGACGGTAATGGCCCAGAGCTGGTGATTTTTGTATCTTTTGCTATTTTACGCTGGGTAACACCATTCTGGTATTGTTGCACCATCTTTCTGCGCAACAATGGTGGAATTGGGGATCCTCTTACCATCTTGGCTTCTGAGAAACCCTGACACTCTGAGAAGCTCTTTTTATACCCAATCATGTTGTCATTTGACCTAATTAGTGTTAAATGGTCTTCCAGCTGTTCGTTATATGCCCAATTTCCTTTTTCCAGACACTTGTTCCTACTTGTCCCAACTGTTTTGAGATTTGTTGACACTGTGAAATTTTGAATCAACATATTTTTCCTTTAAAATGTTACATTTACTCAGATTAAACTTTTGATCTGTCATCTATGTTATATTACGAATAAAATATTGACATTTGCCATCTCCACATCATTGCATTCAGTTTTTATTTACAATTTGTTTACTGTCCTAACTTTTTTGGAATCCGGTTTGTATACTAATGGAAAGTTAATCAAAAGAAATATAGTTGACAGTGGCAGCCCTATGTCTGAGGCTTGTTTTCCAGCTGACTTTGATAAGAACGTGCACCGTGCGTATTGATTACTCATTCAACAAGTTTTCAGTTGAACTGAGATGGGTGAAGTTTGTGTGGTTGTTACATAGGTGGCTCAACAATTATATGTCAAGGGGACGTGCCCCCCCCCCCCACCAACACACACACACACATTTTAAAAATATTCATTAGAGCCCCCCACATTTACCATGAATTATTAGTTCAACCAGCAATGTTTCTATTTCTTTGTGAACAAATCCATTCCACTTGAATAATGGGAGAATACTCAAATCACTAAAAATCCACTCCGGGTTTTCCTGGTTACCTAGAACAATTCGCCACACCATATGCAGTGTTTCCCCTCCTTTATCTGTCTTGGCAGGGTGCTCACGAGGGAAGGAGGAAGAGACACATCTGTTTTGCATGCTAGTTTAGCGCTACGTTAATTCCTGCAGTTTTCGACACGGGGGGTGGGGTCTAGGATGTGTGAGAGAAGCAGAACCTACTCTATCCATACAAAGTGAGCTGTTGTTCAGGCTACTTCTTGTTGCTCTCTCAATTAGTTAGTGAATCAAGTGTTTACTTATGTAGGTAAATGTAGATGTTTAACAACCCATGAAAATATATCAGAATGCAGGAAATGGGATCTACTTTATTTAAAATTTTATGGGGGAGGAACCCCAGACACCCACACCTCCCCCCGCACCCCCACCCCCCACACACACACACACATTGCAAATGCTTCTGACACCAATGGGTTGTTCTGATGGGTCTGGTAGTTCCGGTATGTAAACGTTTTTAATTATGAATTTGAGTAAATGAATTTTAAGATGAACTGACAACAATAGGAAAAACAAACAGAAGCAGAAAATTGTGCAACCATAGCTGTAAAAATGTGGTATTCTTAGTAAAATGTATGGAAAACACAAAGCTAGGATAAAGTTCTACTATTTTTTTTAAATTGAATAAGTGATGTAAAATAAAATGTACATGTTGAATAGGTCCTGTCTTCAATAAAAGCCAGATTTATTTTCTACTTTCTATTTGAAACAAAACATTCATAAATGTTTGAGAATTTATTCTGCATATAACAAACTTTAGTATGCATGTGTCATGTTAAGAACCTGTAATGAAATGTCTCACATTAACACTTTGTTCAAGCTGGTTCAGTGGCCTTACCTCTAGTGAGCTCATTGACAGTGTGGAGACAGTTTCACTCTTGGAGATTACACCAGCGTTTCCAGACTCGCCCACATCGCCCAAGTTGTTAGCCTTATGGGAGTCTCTGGACACATTCTGAAGGTTGTGTGCAGGTGAGTCTCTGTCAGAGCAGGACACGCTGACCTGGTCAGTAGGAAGGCTTTTGAGACCAAAGCCGGGAACTGGTTCTGCACCAGCAGGGTTAGCTAAATGGATTAGTCTGGTCTGAGGCAGCTGCTCAATGCCAATGCTGTACTTGGTTGTCTGATCCTCCTTCCCCTTGGACATTTTCAAGGTCCCTGTGTTGTTTGTTGGTAGAATGACATACCCTGGTCCTTTTCCAGTGCCCTCAGAGCTACTGCCTTCACCGTTCCCTCGGGGCAGATCTCCATCAAGCTGCTTGAAGAGCTCACCATCACATATGTAAATTGATTTAGCTCCTGGAAGCTCTGTGCTGATTCCCTTGGTGGTTCCTTTGTCTCTGCGCAGAGTCAAAGTGTGGCTGGTGTAGTCAGCCACATTCTGGAGGTGAACCTTTGCCATACTGGCAGGCATGGTGTTAAAGTTAGAACTCTTCTGAAGGGTCAGGGTTCCAGAGGAGGCTTTCTCTTCCCCCTGGACGGATGAGCGCTTTGTGTTTCCTAGAAATGACAAGAAAACAAAAAAGCAAGAGTGTTGTAAAACCTACTCAACTAATTTATGGAATGCAACCAAACTCTCCTGGATGGCACGTCATAAATCTTATACTGTGTATGCTGTTGAAAAAATTATATTCTGATTAAGGCAGTCCTGATTGATTTCATTCTCAATATCAAATGGTAAATGGACTGTACTTATATAGCACCTTTCTATCTTATTTCAAGATACTCAAAGCTCTTTACACTACAATCTGTGTCCTCATTTACCCATTCATACAGCACTCTAATAGATCTCTACAAAGCTAATTGAACAAATCATTCTAAAGAGACTAATCAGAGCTTTATCACATTCATACAGTGATGGGACACACATCACAGGCTATGAGGAGTTCAGTGTCTTGCCCAGGGACACTTTATCATGTGACTGCTGGTGGATTTGAACACCCCACTCTCACATTGGAGGACGACTGCTCTAACCACTCAGCCACAGTCGCCACAATATCATGTTCACAGTTTCCTGTTGTGAGGGCTGAACAATGTTTGATTAGAGCTTATCTTGAAGGTTTGGTGTGCGGGACAAAACCCTGATGACTTACATATAGTCTGGATCAAACCTCAGAACTGAAACTCTAATGGTGAGTGATGACGTTGTCCTGGCTTAAGTGGAATAATATCTTCACAATTAACTAAGCAAACTTATGAATACTATGCAAAATACATGTCGCTGTAGGCCATAACTGAGAAATTGACGGCAAAACAGTCTTGTGGACATCACTGAACAACCTTTACATATTTATTGAGCGTTAGGCTCATTGACTGACACTGCCACAAGGTGGCTATTGTTTTAACAAGCGGGACGCTAATGTCCCCCGCCGCTGAAGGATTTGAATCACTTGAATCACGTCTCTTGTCCGCGGCGTGGTGGCTGATGGGATAGGATGGGACCGGATCCACCATTTTTACAGTCCTCCATATTAACTGTGGAAAATAAGTTTTCTTACTGACTTTTTTTTAAATCTAAGTAGGTTAAAACAGTTTAGCGATGGTCTGAAATTGCTGCGTTATTGGATGTAATGTCCGGTCACACGACTGGAATTGTAAAAGATCGAAAACTGACTATTTTTATAGATTCTCCACCAGAAAACACCGCGAGGAGCTCATGTGTAGGACGCAACAAAAAGGAGACGGTGAGACGTCTTGATAACATTCCACACTCATGCATCCTGTTCAGCATCTTTGCCATCTTTTTAAGGTGTCACATAAAATATATTTACATATACATATAAAATATATTATATATATATATATATATATATATATATATATATATATATATATATTTAATAAAGTAATCTAATCAAGATTTGAAGTCAACATGTTATTAGATGAGCTCAAGTCATTAAAAATAAGGTAATAAACCGTTTCAACTTGGAGCTTTGTAAATCAGTTAAAAACTTACTTTAAAAATCAAGTGTTTACAATTTTTTAATACAACATACAGAAGGTTGATTGATTCTAAAATAATGTACATGAATAATTTATGTAAAATTAAGGAGCCAAGAACAACGTACCTTTGTTCAAACCACAACATATTC